ATTACGTGCTATGTAAATTCTTAGAACGGACAAAGGTTCTCCTTCCACGTGGAGTGGGCATCCACCATTTGCTCACAAGCAAATTGAAAGGTGTCTTGAATGGTATCTTGGGTCAAATAATGAGAAAAATGACAGTTGGAGTGAATGTTACCTTTTCAATTTCACCTGGTCCTTAGACCTACGAGTATTATATCTTTATGAGATAGTTGGGTAATGGAACTTCTTTACTTTTCCAAGTTTCAGAAATGTTTTTAATGAGGCATTTATGAAAAAGAGAAGTTCGCAGAGAAGATGAAGTGAACCAAATGGCGAGGTTCAGATAGTGAACCAGATAGTCGGAATGTACAGAATCATTCATGTTTACAGCCCAACCAGGTCCCGTTAAGCTCCACTTCCCTTTCTTATCCTGTTGTGACCTGCAAAAGCCCACGCACTCTTTCCTCCCAGTTCGGGAGTTTCTAAGGCGATCCCTTTCCTTAAACGCAAGTTGTGTCGAAGCAAGACGAATTTGACGTTTATGCAATTTTTGGCAGTCCTTTTTTAAGCGGCCCTGGATACCCTACCTTGTCCTCGTCTTCCTTGTGGTGGTTCGATCTGCTTGGGTTGAGGGCATTGGTTGATTAGAAACTAAATTAATTCTAGTTTATTTGCTCTGGTGTTTCAAGTTCGCCTTTCAGTTGATTTTTTGCTGCTGTAGACTGTATGTTCTCTGGTTTGTTTATTAGATTTTCGTTTTCTCTTTCTTTTCTTTAATGTTGGATTATTCCTTGCTTTTTCGTTCATTCTTTGATTGTGCATTTTTGTGGTGGCAGATGCAATGCTGGTAAAAGGATCTTTCTTTTCGTGAGTGCTGTTTTTCCAGATTCAGGGAATGCGAATTGTGTAGTTATGTGACGAAATCTATCACTATGGTCTGATTTCGATAGTTTGGATGGATGTATGCGAATCGGCGCGGGCATTTAGAAAGCATACAGTAGCTGCGGCGCCAAGACAACCGTTGGTTCCTGCAGAAAAGAACAATGAAGTTATCACACGGTTTCCCTCGTGTTCCAAGAAAATGTCATCTTCTCCTTCATCCTTGTCTGGTCCTCGGCGTTGCCCATCACCAAGCATCACGCGGACGGTTCATACATCCTCCCAATTGGTTCTTAAAAGAGCTCAATCAGCAGAGAGGAAGCGACCGTCCACACCCCCTTCTCCAAGCCCGGCCGCACCGATTGATGGTTCACCAGCAGATTTACAGTTGCTATCGAAAAGAATGATTAGTGGTCGACCTGATAGCTTATGGCCCTCTACGATGAGAAGTTTGAGCGTCTCATTCCAATCTGATACAATTTCTATTCCTGTTAGTAAGAAGGGAAAACCCGTGTTATCATCTCCTTCTGATCGAACTCTTAGGCCTTCTTCCAATTTTCCTTCTAAGCAGGCCGAGACGCAAACTGTTGCAAGGAAGTCCGCGCCAGAAAGAAAGAGGAGTCCACTTAGAGGTAAAAATGGACACGATCAATCAGAGAATTTCAAACCAGTTGCTGGGTCACGTACCCAATTCATAGATCAGCATAGATGGCCTAGTCGAATTGGTGCGAAAGCATCCTCCAATTCATTAAATTGTTGCGTGGATCTCGCCGATAAAAGAGTCCCAATCTTAAATAAGCCACTTAGAGGAAGCGCATTATCTTGTACGGTCGAGACTGTTAGCAAACCTTTACAGAAATCGTCCAGTGGTGTTATGAGGCTATCATATGTTGATGGAAGGAGTAGAAAAGAATTTGAGGCAAATTCAGCCAATGACAATTCAATGCAGGAATCTGCAGCTAACAAGGTTGTTTCGTCAAGTTTATCAGACATAAAAATAACAACAAACCGAGTTGTGAGATATGACTCGCCTACTCTTGTCCCACGTCCATCCTCTGTTACTAGAAGAGCTAGTCCATCTCGAATGACACCATCAACTCCAACTCCTCGAGCAATTAGCTCATCACGAATCAGACCTTCAAATGCTACTCAACCCAATGTTTCAACTTCTGTTCTTAGTTTCATAGCAGATTTTAAGAAGGGAAAGAAGGCTACAAGCTATATAGAAGGTGCTCATCAGCTACGGCTTCTATACAATAGACATTTGCAATGGAGATGTGCTAATGCCCGCGCAGAGGCTGTTCTGCGTAATCAGGAGGTGGCGGCAGAGGTAGGGTTTCAATGCATGTTGATCTTGCTAGATAATCGGCCTCTTTTTGGCAATTACTTGTTGTTTTGCTCTGTTTGAACCAGACGTGATTCCTGTTACTTACGATTGAGAACAGTCTGAAATTTTGATGATTAATCTTTGCGAAGATATTTGCTACAATTGTTCACATATTTGCTTATGGTCAAGAAACTTAGTTATAATCTGACAGTTCAATTGCCGGACATGATTGCTTGTATACTAAAGTGCAAGTTAAAGATTAAGAACTTTTGTGCTTTGGTGCAGAGAACTCTTCTTGGCGTATGGAATACTACACTAAATCTGTGGGATTCAGTAATCAGAAAAAGGATCAATCTCCAACAGCTGAAGCTAGAGCTCAAGTTGATTTCGGTTATGAATGATCAAGTAATACGATTAATTCATTCAAAACCATTATATATCATTAGTTTAGTTTATACAGCACGGCTGTTTTACACTTTCAGTATAATACACATTCAAAACCATTATTCTCTTTTAGATAGTATGTTAAATCAGAACATTTCTAGTCCTTTGAATATGGAGTTATAATTCCCCTCTTATTTGTATTTGAACAATCATTGCCTGTCATGCATGCTATATGATTTTTATGTTGCATGTGATTGATGCAGATGAGCTACCTCAACGAATGGGCAGTGCTTGAAAGAAGTCATAATCGATCCTTATCAGGTGTTATAGACGATTTGGAGTCGAGCACTCTTCGTGTTCCATTGACTGGAGGAGCAAAAGTATACTACATTGGCCAGTAATTTGTTTTAACTATGGGAAACAGAATATTGGTAACTTACAGTAATTTGCTTATTTACAGGTAGATGCGGGCTCTTTAAATGATGCTATTTTTTCAGCCGTTGAGGTGATGCAAGCAATGGGATCCTCCATTTGCTCCATGCTCCCAAGGGTAAACTTGCATAACTCCACCTTGAATGTTATCGATATTTAGTAGCTTGTCTCCACATCTTCCTTGAAATTAAGTGCCTCTGCAAATGTTATGGATATTAACCAATCTTGTCATCTTATAATGCAATTGATGTTCGTAGTGCTTGAGAATTAGAATAATTCTGATCATACTAGCTAGAGGAGATAAAACTAATGCTGCAAGTATCTAAATCTTTGTAAACCATCAAACTGCCTGTGATTTGGATTTCTCCCCCTACCAGCTAGCATTTTATACCATGAGGTCTACATGTTACGGAGATTAAAATTTTCATTGTACTTATCATCTACTTGATAATTGTTATAAATATATACTATTTCCAAACTTCAAGTGATGTACTTTAATTTTCTGTACTCTCCTTTTGAGGAAATACGTCTTTTAGGACATTGAAAACGTAATTAATTGAATTGTTTGCTAATGTTTGGGTGGGCAATGTTTAAATATTTATAACTATTTATACTTCAAACTCCATGGTCGGGAGCTTCAATGCTTTCTTTTCTGCTGTTCTAGTCTGTGTTATCTACTGTTCATCATCATCTTATTTGTTTTTCAGGTGGAGATAATGCAGACGTTGGTTATTGAACTTGCAATTTTAGCAGCCCAAGAAAAGGCTATGCTTGATGAATGTATAGCATTGTTGGCATCAACAGCAGCTTTGCAGGTGGGGATTACATTTCACTGTCGTATAAATTGACGAATAGACTTACTTGTCTTGATCTTACTTGGAACCTTTTATTGTCCCACAAATCTCATTGATGCGAATAGGAAAAAGTATTGCCCAAATTTTATGCATTTTGTTCACTGAGTTTTGGTTCATTCCTCTTCATGAAGCTCATAACTGTTGGATAAGAGCTGTTCATTTAACGAGAATAAAGTGCATATTGCAATTATCTATCGGTTTTTGCAATTGCATATTAGTAACAGTGTGCCATTCGAAAGCAGGTTCAGGAGCAGAGTTTGTGGACGCATCTCATACAAACAAAGGAACGATTGGAAAAGGGCTGTCTGGTTTAGGCGGTTAAAGGCAAGCTTCCCAACCTGACCGGCCCTGCTACTAGGCTAAGCAAGCTAACAACAAAGCCCATTTTGTTACCTCACTGAAAGATGAGTCATTCTTCCAAATCAGTCTTCCCCCGCATGTAAATTCATTCTTTAGATTCTCACCGGGAGTTTGTAGCTGAAGATCCTTTTATTTATTTATTTAATTTTAATCTATTCCTCATTTGAAATTTTTCTTCAACCTTTTCCATTGCAAGAGCTCTCTGGCTTATTCTTTCCACCTTCAACTTCAGATCTGCTAAACAATTTCTCGAATATTTGATTACATTTTGCAGGTGGTGAAATAAGGATAATAAAATACCATGTCATTCCAATGGTCCTTAAACTTCAAAAATATAGTTCTATATGATTTTGAAATTATGTTGACTATCAGTTGGCCTAGTGCACAAGTGATGACATGGCAGCTAGATGTCGAGGTAGTAATGGCTGATGTGGCAAATTTAAATTAGGTGGCGATATTTATTAAATTAGTGAAGGGAAAGTTCAAAGACTAAATATTTTTCAAGACTTCAAAGAATTATAGGCATCTAACTAGGCACCACCTACAGCTGTGTCGAGATAGGAGGATTCTGTGCATGGATATGTTCATGAAATGTATGCAGGCTGAGGATAAATGCTACTAAAATTGATCTCTAGCAAATCAACACAGTCTTCGACATCAACGTCAACGCCATTCTGAACGTAATGGCCGAGGCCAAGTGCAGGGGTGAAGAACTCTGTGTGGAACCAGTTGGCGGAGGTTGATGAACGATGAGCACGAGGAGAAGCTGGAGGAGCTTGAGGGTATTTGTAATCCCATCATTGAAAAGTGTATCAGGGCGGCGCTGGCGGCGGTCCTTCGATGAGTCACGATAATATGCCTGGTCGGGCTCCCTCCGAGTTCGCCGGTGGTTCTGGACCGAAGATTGAGGAGGTTGTATATATATATATTAAATGAAAAAGAAAAAAAAAAGTATTTTAAAGCCTTGACAGAGTTATTTCATAATTAATTTATGTAATAATCAACTAAAGTTGGATACATATAGTGAGCTTAGGATAAATTAAATTAATGGTAAAAAAAAGTGCAAGATTTTATTTAAGTTAGAGCTAATTTGATGAAATTAAAAGTTGAAAATGAAAATAGATAGAAGTAAAATAATAATAATAATATAAATGATTTATAAATAAAAAATAAAAAAACGAGAAACATTGGGTAAAAAAAGGAAATTATATATAACAATAAAACTGGAGAGGGGGATTTAAGAGTAAGTTAATCAGTCAAGAAGAGATAGAGAGACAACAACATCCTTACCTAACCATTTGAAGTTCTTTTGGCTTACAAGTTTTCAAGTTCTTGCATTCTAAGCATTCTGGTTTTTTTTCACCTTCTAATCATTATGGGAAAGAAAAAGAAATCGTATCAATACCATATAATATGTAAATACTAATACTAATGTGCGTTACACTTAGAAATTAGATAATGATTTATTTACTTTTACTTTAGCTTATAATGAACCAATTATGGGACTTTTGAAGGATCACTAGCAAAGGTACTGAGTTGACTACGTTTAATTAATGAAGAGGAACCATTTGAAAGTAAGAAAGAGAGACTGAAAGCAAAAGAGCGACGATGGTACCTTAGTGGATAAGATGAATACAGAAGTTGAAGAGACGTGCATGGCAGTTGAACTGTGAGATTCCACGTCGATTAGAGAAGATAACGAAACATTTTTTATAAGGGTGTAAAAACCTCTACCTAGTAGACGCATTTTAAGAATCTTGAGAAAAAGTTCGAAAGAGAGTCCAAAAATGACAATATCTACTAGCGTGAGCTTAGACTATTGTAACAGTGAAGGTACAAGAGTGAAGGGTAGGAAGCTGAACTTCAATGGGACTTTGACACAGCAACCAACTCACCACCCATTTCATCAGACACATTAGGTGAAGGCAATTGAATATCTAATGCCACCCTTTTCAGTCTCAACCTTTTGCCTTCATAAACACAAGTTACTTGCTTCAAACTCTTATTTTTCATTGAACACTTAGTCTCCCTGTGTTGCTCGCCAGCCATGGAAGCCAGCGCAGGACTTGTCGCTGGTTCTCATAACCGCAATGAGCTTGTTGTCATTCATGGCCATGAGGAGGTGATTAACTTAATTGATCAGAAAGTGCAGTGGGAGAAGGTTTTGGTTTGTTTGTTTGTTTGTCACTGATATGTTTGTGTATTTGTTTTGTTTTCTGTTCTGCAGCCGAAGCCATTGAAGAACTTGGATGGTCAAGTTTGTGAGATATGTGGCGACGAAGTGGGGCTTACTGTGGATGGTGATCTGTTTGTTGCCTGCAATGAATGTGGTTTTCCAGTCTGCAGACCTTGTTATGAGTATGAAAGAAGAGAAGGAAGCCAACTGTGTCCTCAGTGTAAAACTAGATATAAGCGACTTAAAGGTGAAACACAGAACAAAGGACTACGCAATAACAAGTTTCAAGTTTTATTTTTTCTTAAACTCTCTCTTTTCGGGTATTGTGAAGGGAGTCCGAGGGTCGAGGGAGATGATGATGAAGAAGACATAGATGACATTGAACATGAATTCAACATTGATGATGAGAGGAATAAGCAGTCATATGGCAGAAGCTATGCTTCATGGAAAGATGAGCTACGGTAGAGGGCCAAATGATGATGAAAATGCACAGTATGGAAGAACAGAGCCAGTGAGTGGGCAAACCTTTCATTCTTTAGCCTCTGTTTGGAAATCTTTTTCCTAATTATTATTGCATACCAGGAAAATGTTGAGCTTCCTTTATCATCCCAGGGTTATGGAGATCAGATATCATCTTCTTCACTGCACAAACGAGTGCATCCATTTCCAGCTTCTGAACCAGGTAAATTTTCTGCACCCCATTGATCCTGCATTAAATTGTCCCAAAGATACATGAAGTTTTGTTATCATATGGTATCCGATATGCTTTAAAAAATTCAGGCAGTGGAAGATGGGATGAAAAGAGAGAGGAAGGTTGGAAAGATAGAATGGATGATTGGAAATTGCAGCAAGGCAATCTTGGGCCTGAACCTGATGATGCCAATGACCCTGACATGGCTATGTATGCTTGAACATTCCCCAGTTCAGTCTTTCTAATTAAGATGTTTGAAACTTTTGTTCGCGGAACTCCATGTGTCAATGACTCGCAAACTGTTGCAGGATTGATGCAGCTAGACAGCCACTATCAAGGAAGGTACCAATAGCATCTAGCAAAATTAATCCTTACCGAATGGTTATTGTGGCTCGGCTCGTTATTCTTGCCTTCTTCCTTCGGTATCGGATTCTAAATCCAGTGCATGATGCATTGGGTTTGTGGCTAACTTCTGTGATATGTGAAATCTGGTTTGCATTTTCGTGGATCCTCGATCAGTTCCCCAAATGGTTCCCAATCGATCGTGAAACCTACTTGGATCGTCTGTCCCTCAGGTAATATCAATTCTACAACAGCATTAAAAGGCAAAAGAATAATAATAAATGTGTTAGTTTGAATATATTTATCAAAATCTAGAATGTCATCATATGAATGTTGTAATGTAGGTATGAACGAGAGGGTGAACCTAATTTGCTTGCTCCAGTGGACATTTTTGTCAGTACTGTTGATCCGATGAAGGAACCTCCTCTTGTAACAGCTAACACAATCTTATCTATCTTGGCCATGGACTATCCAGTTGATAAGGTTTCATGCTACGTTTCAGATGATGGAGCTTCCATGCTTACCTTCGAAGCAATGTCTGAAACTGCAGAATTTGCCAGGAAATGGGTGCCCTTCTGTAAGAAGTTTTCGATAGAACCTCGAGCACCTGAAATGTACTTTTGTGAGAAGATCGATTATCTCAAGGATAAAGTCCAACCAACGTTTGTAAAGGAGCGTCGAGCAATGAAGGTAAGCACTTTTAACAAATAAACTGAGAAAGAGAAAAATATAGGAGTGCCACAATTGTGTCTAATATCAAGCCTGAAATATCTTTGGAGTATGTAGAGAGAATATGAAGAATTCAAGGTCAGGATAAATGCCCAAGTAGCAAAAGCCATAAAAGTTCCCACAGAAGGATGGATAATGCAAGATGGAACACCATGGCCAGGCAACAACACAAAAGATCACCCTGGTATGATCCAAGTCTTTCTGGGTCACAGTGGAGGCCTTGATGCAGAAGGGAATGAACTCCCCCGCTTAGTGTACGTATCTCGTGAGAAAAGACCAGGTTTCCAACATCACAAGAAGGCTGGTGCCATGAATGCCTTGGTAGCTTGCTCAGTTCCAAGTTTCTCTCTTTCTTGACCCCAGTTTATTCATTTTCCTTTATCTAATCCACAGCATTTTGTACAATTGTAGATTCGTGTATCTGCAGTGCTTACAAACGCTCCATTCATGTTGAACTTGGATTGTGATCACTACATAAACAATAGCAAAGCAGCAAGAGAGGCAATGTGTTTCCTTATGGACCCTCAAGTTGGAAAGAAAGTCTGTTATGTACAATTTCCACAAAGATTTGATGGAATAGATAGGCATGATCGTTATGCCAACAGAAATACAGTCTTCTTTGATGTAAAGATCACGTCTCAGATGTATTCTATATAATTGTTTAAGTGACCAAGCGCTAAATATCATAAAAATAAACTATGTTTCCTTGTGGTGCAGATTAACATGCGAGGTTTAGATGGAATTCAGGGACCTGTCTATGTCGGAACAGGGTGTGTCTTCAGGAGACAGGCTTTATATGGTTATGAACCCCCAAAAGGACCGAAGCGCCCAAAAATGGTATGCTGTGACTGTTGTCCATGCTTTGGACGTCGCAAGAAGCTTAAGAGCTCTAAAAGTGGGGTAGATGGAGATGCTGCAGGTGAGTACATTTTTTCAAACTTCAACTTTTATTGGCACTTGTGTCTTGGTGGATACATTGCCATCAGATTGTGATAACTCATAATCGCTTGCTGCTATGAGCAGCGATGGAAGATAACAAGGAGCTGCTAATGTCGCAAATGAATTTCGAAAAGAAATTTGGGCAGTCATCAATTTTTGTTACCTCGACTTTGATGGAAGAAGGTGGTGTTCCACCCTCCTCGGGTCCAGCGGCCCTACTTAAGGAAGCAATTCATGTTATCAGTTGCGGTTATGAAGACAAAACCGAATGGGGTACAGAGGTAATGTCAATAATCCTTACTTGAGGAAACATCTAAACACAACCTTCCTCTTTCCTTTCACTACTGACATGCTAACAGTGAAATCGAACAAAAAGTAATTAACAAATATAGTCTAGAGATAGGTAAACTTGAAACTGATACCTGTTTCATGTTTGCGTATGCAGTTGGGCTGGATTTATGGGTCGATCACAGAAGATATTCTAACAGGTTTCAAGATGCATTGTCGTGGCTGGAGATCTATATACTGCATGCCAAAGAGACCTGCATTTAAGGGTACAGCTCCCATTAACTTGTCTGACCGGCTGAACCAGGTGCTTCGTTGGGCACTCGGGTCTATTGAAATCTTTTTCAGCAATCACTGCCCTGTTTGGTATGGTTATAAGGGTGGGAAGCTAAAGTGGCTAGAGAGATTTGCATACGTCAACACAACTGTCTACCCCTTCACTTCAATACCACTTCTCGCTTACTGTACCCTCCCTGCGATCTGCCTGCTCACCGATAAGTTTATCATGCCACCGGTAAATATAGTAAAATTTACAGTATCGCCTACAAAAGATGATTTCAGCAGAAAATATTAGAGAAGAGGAAATTGAGGAAGACATAATTAATTTAAAAGTCACAATAAACTACACATTTAATTATATTGTTTGATAAACTTACTTGGCAAAGTATTTTGCATCCATTGATGAAATCATCTTCGGCTTTTTGACAAACAGATAAGCACTTTTGCAAGTCTCTACTTCATTGCCTTGTTTCTTTCCATTTTTGCTACGGGTATTCTAGAGCTTAAATGGAGTGGAGTTAGCATTGAGGAATGGTGGAGAAATGAGCAGTTCTGGGTCATTGGTGGTATTTCAGCTCATCTATTTGCTGTTGTTCAAGGTCTATTGAAGGTTCTGGCTGGAATTGATACTAGCTTCACAGTTACATCCAAGGCAACAGATGACGAAGATTTTGGAGAATTATATGCCTTTAAGTGGACCACTCTACTAATCCCTCCAACAACTATTTTGATCATCAACCTTGTTGGGGTTGTTGCAGGCATCTCAGATGCCATAAACAATGGCTATCAATCATGGGGACCCCTATTTGGGAAGCTTTTCTTTGCCTTCTGGGTGATTGTCCATCTCTACCCATTCCTTAAGGGTCTGATGGGCCGACAAAACCGCACACCGACTATAGTCGTCATATGGTCCGTGCTGTTGGCTTCAATCTTCTCCTTGCTTTGGGTTCGAATTGATCCATTTGTGATGAAAACAAAGGGACCAGATACCAAGCAATGTGGACTAAATTGCTGAGAGGCTATCTCTTTCTTGTTATTTGATGTGTGCATCACCAGAAGATTCATGTGCACAGGCAGGAGACTTATATGCATTCTGGACATTGCATAGAACATGTGAACTGAAAGAATGTAAAGCACAAGAACGAGTAAAAGCAAGGGTGAAATTTTTGTGTAGTATGACTATGTGCCTAGTTTTGTGAACAAATGAAGATTGTTTAATTCAGTTTGTGTACACAAAACAGAACTTATCATATAGAAAATTACAATATTGTACCTCAACACCTCGTCCTCTGAAAAAAGTAAACAGTATATAAATCAGAACTGATGAGTGATTGATATGAAAGATCCAGTAAATATTATCAATAGGCTTCAGTTCAGAACAAATGTAAACGAAAGGGTAAGAAAATCTATACAGAGAGAAATATGAAATTTCTGACTCAATAGACAAAGACAGTATAACACCTCAAGGATTAATATCTTTGGAGACGCATTCCTTGAATTTTATTCTCAAATGCCACAAACTGACCTCCTGAGTATCCAAATATATATATATAGAAGAAATAAATATAGATAGTTCATGCAAATGTTGTAAACAATTCATACCAAAAACCCTAAAAACTACGGTCTAGAGTCAAGAAGGTTTATTTTCCTTTCACAATTTTCTGACGCTAGAGAATGTAAAGCCATGCATTAGGCATGACCTAACTGCGTACCTACAGCACAGCAAGTTAATATTCTGCATTTATGATGTTATGAACAACTGAATTGAAAATACGCAGCTGAAGCCTGAATCTGCTAGATAAAATACACTTTTCAGTTAGATATTTAATAAATGATACGGAAAACAAAGATGTGCAAAGTTGTATGAACGGAATTGTGAAGCAAACCTCTGTGCCAGAACTCGTGTGAATAAAAAAGCCTCAGACAGGAGTAACAGAATATGAATATTGGTGAGAGTCTTAGGTACCTCTGTGCCAGGGCTCTGATAGCGATGGTTGTATGCCGAAAGTGGAACAAATGTACTCCCAACACCAATTAACGGAATTACATAAAGAGACGCCAAGATATTTACATGGTTCGGAGAGAAGAAGTTCCCCTACATCCACGAGTGGCAACCAATCACTAATAAACCCAAGTGTTACAAGTGAATGCCTCATTATCACACTACAAAGACTCTCACCAATATGTCACCCAACAAATACAATGTGATACACAAAACTCTCCCAAATTCCGATACCACTCATTAAGAATGGATATTCAGAATGGAGGGAGAAATCTCTCATTATATAGCATTACAGAATCAAATTTCCATTGAGACTAAATCTAATTCAAATAACCAAATCAAATCTAATCTAAATAACCAAATCAAATCTAATCCAAATAACCAAATCAAATCAAAAGTTAATTTACAACAGAAACAAATGGATGGAAATCTGATAAAGGGGTTAAGTTGCTATCTCATATGTTTCTATCAATCTGCCACAGCAGATCATTACATATCAAATGACTCCTAAATTTACTTAACCTTCTTTGGAAAACAATCATAATACCTATAATTAATAAACTACTTTAATCTAATACATGAAATTCCAATGCCTTCTGACTTTTATGATCCCTCCAATCCAATAATCTTAACTACCACGAGAGTGTTATTTCACCAGTAGTCTCCACATGAACAAAGACCATCTTTGAAATGATGAAATCTGTTGGCATCCCTAACCACAATCACTCTCTCAGTGATCTTGGATATAAACTTAGTTGCAGTATGACAGTCTAAACAAACTCGGAGGTTCTTAATAATCCTAATTTCAGTTCCAGGCTCAGTTGAAATAAGCCCAAAAGCAATTGCTAATTTTTCACTGTGGACATTCACCATTAACTCCTTCTCTTCATCCTCTACATCATGCAAAGCAGTAGTAACAGTTTCTGCCTGATATCCAGCTTCTCTCATCTTCCCTATTAACTTCTCTAGCATGGCATAAATGGCCATGGCCCGAGGATGGGACCGATCTCCAGATGTGAACACATGTTGTTGATCATCAATCTCAATTAGAGTGCAACCAGGTGTCTTTGCCAGATTTCTCTTCTTAACAACTTGCCGTACTGAAGCAGCTTTGGGGAAGTTCCTGTCAGTAGAATATATATTAGAAAGCAGAACATAGTATCCCACATTCTCTGGGTCCAGTTGAAAAAGTCTTTCAGAAGCAACATGGGCTATGTCTGTATTCTTGTGAATCATACAAGCGCCAAGCAGTGCACCCCAAACAGCAGGGCCGGGTTCGAGTGGCATTCTTTCTATGAACTCCAAGGCATTCGTTAGCTGCCCAGCTCTCCCAAATATGTCAACCATGCAAGCGTAGTGCTCACTCATGGGCTGAAAACCAAAATTGTTAACCATAGAGTGGAAAATCTCATTTCCCTCTCTCACCAAGCCGGAGTGACTGCAAGCATACAAGATAGAGAGAAAAGTAACACCTGTCGGTGGAATCCCAGATTGCAACATTTTATTAAAGAGGTTTAGAGCTTCATTGCCATATCCATGGAGACCATAACCAGTTATCATGGCATTCCAAGTTACCGCATTCTTTTCTGCCGTCAAGTCAAATAGCTGACGAGCCTCCACAACGCTACCGCATTTTGCATACATATCAACTAAAGCGGTTGTGACATATATGTTCGATTCAAGTTTTTCACTCTTAATCAAACCATGAACCCATTTGCCAAGACTTAGAGCTCCAAGTTGAGCACAAGCCGAAAGTATACTGGTAACGGTGACAGGATTTGGACTGAGTTGAGGCATCATTTCCTGGAACAGAGAAATTGCACTCTCTGTCAACCCATTTTGAGTATACCCTGATATCATCGCGTTCCAGGAAGCCAAACTTTTCTCCGGAGATTCATCAAACAGCTGCCTTGCATATTGAATTTCATTTAGTCGACAATAAACAGTAGTAAGTGCAGTTGATACAGAAGGTTTCGAAATAATGCCAAGCTTTATGCTTAAAGTTTGAATCGAGCGAGTTAGTTGCAGATGGCTGAAGGGCGAAAAGACTGGAATTAAGCCCACCAATGTGCTTGAACTAACACCCTGTCCGGAAGCAAGCAATTCCCTGAAGAGTGTCACTGCCGATCCAGTTTCATGATTGAAAGTATAACCAGAAATCATTGCGTTATAAGATATCAAATCCGGTTGATCAATCTGATCAAACAACAACCTTGCTTTGTCACTCTCCCCACATTTTGAAAACAATGATATCAAACCCGTAAGCACATAAACATCAGAATGGAGCCCTTTTTTTGAAGCCAAACATTGAATACTCATCCCTAGTCTATACTCCTGCAACTCCGCCACTGCTGTAAGCACAGCAGCCAAAGTTGTAGAATCAAATGGCAGCCCAACATCGAGCATGTCCACAAAAACACGTATCGAGTCCTCAAAATACGAATTCCTGGAAAACCCAGATATCATCGTGTTCCATAGAACCGTATCCCTCTCAGGCATTGCATCAAACACCTTCCGCGCCAGGTCGGCGCGCGTAAATTTAAAGTACAAATCAACAATTGCAGACCCAACAAACAAGTTCGATGCCACCCCATCAACAATCGAATGCGCGTGCAACAAGACGCCAAGCCTCTCATCCTCAAACTTCGAAGCAGCTGAAATAGCAAATGCATAGGTGAAATTGTCTGGCCTAAGATTAGTCCATTTTCTCAAATGGGTATAGACAGAGATCGAAGATTTAGGCAAATTATTGTCGGAGAAGCCTCTAATAAGGACATTAAACATGAATAGATCGGGTCTGGAGACATTGGCGAAGAGTTGGCGCACATGGCGAACGGCCCCGAGATCGAAGAACTTGTGGGTAAGCTTGGTGATCGAAGAGAGATCATAGTGAATGCCGTGGAGGATTAACTGTGCTTGGACTTGGAGGAGTTGGGGGAGTGTAGTAGCCTTGTTAAGAAGTGCGAGGAAGAACTTTTTATCTCGAATTACAGAGATGGCAGTGTTCGTGCATATCATCTGTGTATGCGGCTACGGCGCTCCCGATAGCTTCCTGATTTCGGCGCTTCCCTTTAATTTTTTAGTTTGGAGGCGGGAAGTTTATTTACGATTCCATTTAATGGCATTCGTCAATTACATTTTTCACAACAATAAAAGAAAAAAAATCAAAATCAAATTATATCCCAATTATAAAATTTAATAGGTTAAATTAGTAAACTTTGTGTTTACTTAATTTTAAATTAATTTTTATGACTTTGAAATTTTTTAATTTTGTGTATAATTTTTATTCGAACTTCATGAAAATACAAAAATATTTCAGATGATTATTTATTAAACAAAAAAAAAAATCATATAATAAACATAATCTACTAATGTTTTTAAATTCAAGAATAGTGTAAAAAATCTATTATTTTTCAAATTAAAAGAAATTTTTACATAAGAACTTGAAAATTGAAAAAAAAAAAAAACAATCTCATAATTTAATGAACAAAATGAAAATTTATAATTATAGGAAAAAAAAGGTAAATAAAATAAAAGCGAGGAGAGAGAGAGAGTGGTGTGTGCTTGAGCTGAGTGTTAGAAAGAAGGGTTTTTTTAGCTCCCGCAAGCAGCTCATCGCGCTATGTCTTCTGTTTATCAGAGCTTTCTCTCTCGTCATTACAAGAGAGAGAAACGGGTAGAAACCAAAACCTTTATCACTTCTCTTCAAATCCTATCCAATTCAGCGCTCACCGCCGCTGAATCTTCTTCTTCCCAGGTTTCTCTCCCTGTTTTCGTTTTCCTTTTCTTCTTCGTCCTGTTGCGGAGATATCCTCCTTGAGCCGTGGATCGAGTTATGCAGCAAGCTGATCGGACGGTTCTAAGCTTGAGACCTGGTGGCGGTCGACCTAGACTCCTTGGTCCTCGCTTTGAGCATTCATCCTCCTCTTCCTCATCGTCTTCATCTTCTTTTACCTTCGGTTCATTTTCCTCTGATCTTTCCACCCTCCCGCCCCATGGCGGGCCTTCCGCTTCATTGTCTGTGAATGTATGTGCCTACTAATGTCTTTTATTGATTCTATTTAGAAAACTCTTGTTATTTGATTGGAATCTTGACATTTTTTAATGTCATAATCCTGTGTTTCGAAGCTAATTGGGTATCTGTAGTTCTTTGTAGTGGAGGTTTGTGGATTGGATATGATGACTTGGAAAGTTATTTATTCGATTTTTGCCTATTTTGATTGGGTTTTATTGCTTTTTGATGCTTCGTGATTTGACTTGGAAGAGTTAGATTGCAATCTGAGCTTTTTAATCCGCGGAGTTTTATTGGTAGATATTGAAGTTGTGGGAGTTGATTATTAGTTTTGGTTTAACTTCCTCTTGGATTGATCCATTGGCCGAAACATTAGGTCGTATACAAGTAGCGTAATTGTTGCTCTTGTATGTTAATCTCAATTTTGTATGGGCCTCGCTTTTATTCCTCATTGGACCCTTTTTAACTCTCATTTTCTATTGTAATAGGCTGAAGATTCACGGTTTGAGGGTCGTGAGCGTGTTCGATATACCCGAGATCAGCTTTTGCGGCTTCGAGTGCAGCTTCGAGAGGTTACATTACGCTCTCTCTCTCTCCCTTTCTTGTTTTTTGTTGTTGTCAAAATAAGCTAATGATCTCGACGATGCATGTGTCTTCTCCTTCTCTGTCTCTCTCTTTGAATATCTTGTGAACTGTAATATTTTATCGTATTCATAACCAAATAAAAGTTTATCACTTGGGTTCTTTCTGGGATAATTTGATTGATGGGCAGTTTCTCTCATTGCTTCTCCTTTATTTATCTGTCTTTTCTGGTTTCTAAACGAATAAAAAGAAATGATAGCTGTTATCTAGTTGTGTGTATTATTTGAATACTTTAATGTCACAGTTACCAGTACTGATATTTCCTTTAATCCTATTACCGTTTTGTATATTCTTTTATAGTCATTTTTCCTGGAAATCAGATACCAAGAAATTGTTGAGTACGACTCATTTGTCTCTTAATGTTTAGTGAACGACTAATTCCTCTTGTTTCTTGAAGGCTGTGGAAGTTCCAGATGATATACTAATACTTAAACGGGATCTTGAAGTGGAAATTTTTGGCGAGGAACAAAGTTGGAGTCGTGGAGAGAGCAATGTAAGTATGTTGTTCAATTGATTGATTTTCTTCTCTCTTAGGGATGGTGGAAGGTGGTTCGTAAGAGGTCATTAGTATTTAAGGTTCTTTTTACCTGGTTGGATGGTACTCTTAACCATCTGTTTTCTCTCAAGTTTGGTGAGGGTAATTTATGAAATGCGGGACTTTTGATGTATTTCTTTTTGCATGATTCTCTGTAATATCTCCCTGCCCCCTTTATAGCAACCTAATCAGTCTCAGAATCGCTATTCTGAGCCAGACAGTCGTGACTGGCGTGGCCGTTCTGCCCAATTCTCTGCTTCTGGAGAGGAGAGGTCCAGGGAAACAAATCGAGATAGAGATGTTGGTGGTCATTTTGACTCTAGACAGCAAGACGCAAACCAATTCAATCGTCAAGAGCATTGGACCAGGACCACTTCTAACCAAGGGGTAATTTTTGTGTTTCTTTCCTGCCGTTTTCACGAGTATATTTTCTTGAAATGTGTGTGCATTCAGAAAAAATGTCTCACCTAACTTTTATTTTAAACAAGAACAAGATCTCAGCCCTCATCCAAAACCAATTAGCATTGAAGACATGCACACGTATACACTGTTTGCCCCTACGAGTTTTATGATGTTCATCTTTAAGTATAATTTAATTCCGACAAGTTGCAAGCTCAACTAACTACTTCTATGTAGTTGGAAATTTTGATTTTCTAGTTTCGATGTTTTCATTTCAATATCACACCTGTAAATTTATCTAGACTTTTCTTTTTCATCCTTGTATAGCCCCTTCTTTAAACAAGTTTACTTTGATAAGAATTGATTTCAGTGAAAACTTATTATTGGAACTGTATATATTCAGTTTAAGGCAGTGCCATATAATATACATACGAATCTGTTCTGCTGGTTATCGCGAAAATCATTGACAGGTTAAATGTTTTATTCAGGAAAACAAAATACTTTTTAGTGGGAAAAAATGACCTGTGTGCAGGGCACTTATACTTTGATCCTTTCTCACTCCATTGCATTTGTTACTAAATTGCAGCTCTAAAAGCCCTATATCTAACGATTTTATGTCACTTTACTCGTTTTATTTTAGGGAGGACTTCCCGCTTTAATCAAAGCTGAGGTTCCATGGTCAGCTAGGAGAGGAAATCTTTCTGAAAAGGATCGTGTCTTGAAGACTGTAAAGGGGTAATACATATTAGTTACATCAGTTACTCATGATTCTAATTTCTTCACAACTAACCTTCAATTATCTCTTTTTCACTTTTATTATTTGAAATTGGATTCCCAATCCCTTCACACTTGGGAATTCTATGCCTTTGTCTGTCATGGAGTTCCTAACTGATAATATAAATTCTTGGTGTAAGTGTATCGAGATCTATTTTGTTTATTTTATTTTTGGTAAACGAGGAACAAATTTTCATAGGTTGATTGCAATACAATAAGTTCATGGAAGGAGAAAAGAAAAAACAGCAGCAAACCAAACTAGGCCATAAAAGAAGCCTCTAAAACTCAATAAAAAAAACCAACAACTAAATTAGCCACAACAAAGAACCAAAAAAACCAAAGACAACACTTAACAGGTTGAAGAAAACCAAAGAAAACGAGCCAGCAAGAGAACTACTCCCAAGCAGACGATGATAACCAGGCTCCAGCGGCTCGAAAAACGTCTGCAAACCATAAAGGAGTAATCTACCACGAAGCTGAAAACACTCAGAGCCAAAAAACCTTGCTGAGATAAACCACCAAAAGATTTCTACCCTCTAACAGAAAAACAAGGCTGAAATCATAGTCTTTTATGAAAGAAGAAAAGAACTTTTAACTTCCAAGGAACTCTTTGAAGGAGGGTTAAAATCTTCTTGAAAAAGGTCATTAAGTACCCAACAATAACAATATCATATGTCTTGTCTTTTCCGTGAATATTCTTTGATTTCTTTTGTGTCTTTTCTGTGAATATTCTTTGATTTCTTTTTTTCAACCGATTACAATTCAGACTTTGTATACACCTTTGCAACTTCCTTTTTGTTAGAAAGGGAATGAAAAACCTCATCTGACCTTTCATTTTCCTTATGGAAACCCTCGAATTTGACTGATAATTACAGCTTCTCTAATGAAGGGCGGATGAAATAAACGTTGGTTAAGAGAAGAGTCCCGATCCTCAGAAAGAAACATTTGTCGGCCCGCCAAATAACCCATTAAAAGTGTTATTATACAAGGCCGATTATCGATGTCAATAGCCAGGACCTCTTCATGCAAATCCTGCAATGAATTAGCTGTCATTGCTGGTGAAACTTCATTAATATGTTCAACCCCCACCAATTCATTATTTTTCCTTCTCCAATGACAAAGAATGTGGAATATGAACTAAAACCTTCTCCCTCACCAACCGTATTTCGTTCAAAATTTTCATTAAATTATCATCTCCCCGCCCACGTAGAATTAAAACTGCAAAAGGGATCCGAGATTCCAAGAAATCGTTCATCTTCCAAACCCTTCTTTTCTCGATGAAAATCCAAATCGACGATGTTCGAAATTTAAGGCCTTGGAGTGGAGGAATCACATACCGAAGGAGAGTTTTGAACAATAATATTGCCAAGAACCAAATCAGGCACGACCACCTTGGCAGGAATAAAACCACTTCGAATGCTTGATACTTTAGTGGAGGTTTCAAAGCAATTCAATAGGTTAATAGTGTCTAAAAAAATTGTAATAAAACCTTCACGTTTCTTTCCAATATACTAAAAATTTCCTTAACATGTCATCTCATCTCTAGGATATGTCTATCCTAGTTTTATTTTTTCCTATTAGCTTTTTAAAGCCTTAAGAGGGAGTACTAATGGGCTAATTACTTAGTTTTACGTTCAAAATGAGCATGTTGAAAAGGATCGTAGCATGTTCAATTGGAGGTGTATACCTCTTCTATAAGAGGCATAGTCCCCGACACTTAAGTTTTGCTTCAGAACCTTCTGAAACAGATGAAAATTGCCATACTTATGCTAATGTGCCTTAATTATGTAGGATATTGAACAAGCTAACACCAGAAAAGTTCGATCTCCTCAAGGGTCAGCTAATGGACTCCGGAATCACCTCCGCTGATATTTTGAAGGTTATCTTCATCCACTCGCTTGATTCTAGATGATGTTACTTCTTTTCCCTATCTCACTTTGCTTGCACTGCAGGATGTCATTTCACTGATTTTTGATAAGGCTGTTCTCGAGCCCACATTTTGCCCCATGTATGCCCAATTGTGTTCTGATCTGAATCAGAAGCTACCTCAATTTCCCTCCGATGAACCTGGTGGAAGGGAAATTACTTTTAAACGAGTCCTCTTAAATATCTGTCAGGAGGCTTTTGAAGGTGCAGACAAGTTGAGGGAAGAGGTTAGGCAGATGATTGCCCCTGAGCAAGAGAGCGAGCGCAGAGATAAAGAAAGACTGATCAAACTTCGTACTCTTGGAAATATTCGATTAATTGGAGAGCTTCTGAAGCAAAAGATGGTGCCTGAGAAGATTGTCCACCACATCGTGCAGGTCTTTATTTGATGTCCATCTGTATCATTGCCTATGTTTCACCCTTCCATTAAATTCTATAAACTGCTCTGTTTTTTCTGATATGTTGTGTGTATTCAGGAACTTTTAGGACCAGATAACAAAATCTGTCCTGCTGAAGAAAATGTGGAGGCCATCTGTCAGTTCTTTAACACCATAGGTAAGCAGCTAGACGAGAATACAAAATCGCGGCGTATAAATGACATGTACTTTGGCCGATTGAAAGAATTGACTACACTCCCTCAGTTGGCTCCACGTTTGAAGTTCATGGTCCGCGATGTTCTTGATTTGCGAGCTAACAATTGGGTACCTAGGCGTGAAGAGGTAGATCCTTGTTCTCTCCCTTTTTTCTTTTATCTTTTTATTTTTCTTTGTAGGTGGAACATAATTTTGGATCTTTTGTCGTAATGCCTTCTGAATTTTGTTCCTACAGGTTAAAGCCAAAACTATTACTGAAATACATTCAGAGGCAGAAAAAAATCTGGGACTACGTCCTGGTACTACTATCAATATCAGAAATAGTCGTGGTGTTGTGTCTGGCTCTCCTGGGAACACCAGCCCTGGGGGCTTTCCTATCAATCGACCTGGTTTGGGGGGTATGATGCCGGGCATGCCAGGAACCAGGAAGATGCCTGGTATGCCAGGAATGGATAATGACAATTGGGAGGTTCCTAGGGCCCGTACTGTACCTAGGGGGGCAAACGGATCTGGTATGCAGCCTTCTGGACGTGGCCAGACACAGTTGATTGGCAAAGCATCAACCTTGAATGCGAGGCTACTACCCCAGAGTTCTGGTGGCCTCATTAGTAACAAGACTAGTGCTCAATTGCAGGGTGCAGGAGCATCTACTACTCGTCCTATTAACTTCGGTCAAGGGTTGGGTCATAAACCTATTACGGCAGCAATGGTCCTTCCACCTGCTGAGAGACCACAGGTTCCAGCTGCATCTTTAAAACAAGTTGATCTCAAAAAGAAAACTCTCTCTCTTCTTGAAGAATATTTTAGTATCCGGATTTTGGATGAGGCTTTACAGTGCGTGGAAGAACTCATGTCACCAGCTTACCATCCTGAAGTTGTAAAAGAAGCCATTTCTTTAGCCCTAGAGAAAAGCCCACCCTGTGTTGAAGCAGTCGTAAAGTTTCTGGCCTATTTACTCTCCAGGAAGGTTTTTACTGCTGGAGACATTGAGACTGGATGTTTGCTATATGCTTCTGTGCTCGACGACGCAGGCATTGATTTACCAAAAGCCCCAATCAATTTCGGAGTGATAATTGGGAAACTTGTTATATCTGGTAGTTTGGATTTTCAGGTGGTGAAGGAGCTCCTTAAGAAGGTGGAAGATGACAGGTTCAGGAAAGACATATTTGATGCTGTCTTGCAGACGCTAAGTTCTGATGTGTCTGGACAAGGATTACTGGATTCATTGGCATCCTATATCGAGGCCTGTCGAAGTCTAGCATGTTAACGCAAATCTTATTGCTTCGAGTTCTCTAGTTACAGACATCAGATGGAACTTTTTGCCCTTGGTTTCGTTATGGCATGCCCCGCCTCGTTTGCGTTCCTCATATGATGAACAACATGTATTTCATTATCTGACAAGGTGGCTACAAAGAACAGGTAATTTTATTTGAGTTGTATATTGTTTTTTGGAGTCTGGTAGAAAATATGTTTATTGAGATTTCAAATCAAACCCCATAATGCCATTGGTTTTGCTCTCCAACCATGGCTAAATCATGCCTGTTATTTTTACATACACATTCAAAAAAAAGTTAAAACATCATTTTTTTTATTTCTTATTTGACTTGGCTGTTAACTTTTGTTAGCTCGAGGAAACGAACCGTTGACTGATCTCTTGTACCAGGACTTAGATGTTTCATATTAATTCGTGTAAGATTAAAGCGTTGTTTAATAACCGTTTTGTTTTGTACTCTTTGTTTAAGATTTGATTATTCATGTGTCTTATAATTTATTATATTCCATATTTGAACTAATCCAACCCAATTAATTAAAATATTACGACCATTTGATGATGATTTAGATTTTTATTTTATTTTTTATTAAGCATATAAATACCAATAATATTTGGTCTAGTTGTCAAATGGAGCTTTAATAATCTTTGTTTAAAGTTTCATTTCATATAATATAATATGTTTGCTATTAGTTGACATCACATTATACATATCATGCGAATTCGATGCTTATGCTTGATAGTTATCCAAAGTAGACAATTTTTTTATAAAATATCAAAATTGACAATTCTAAAGAAGACCTGAACACTTATTTTAGATGATAGTTACCATTTACGTAATTTCTTTTAAATTATTTTACATTTTTTTTTCCTAAAAACCCAACATAATTTTCAACACAAACTAAATAATTTTTTTTAAGAATAAATTATTTATTTAGAGAATTAGCTAAAATCTATGTAACAGTTTGGATCTAAGCTAGCAGATATTGTCCTTTTTGGACTTTTTCCTTTCGGTCTAGTAGATATTATCGACTTTTTCCTTTCGGGCTAACAGACATTGTCCTCTTTGGACTTTGTTGCCCTTTCGACCTTCGGCTAGGAGAAGGTTTCCACACTTTATAAATGGTGGTCCAACCAACGAAAATATTCAAAATTCACAAACCAATCAAGAAAATGGTTTATCCAGTAATTACAAATTTTCAGAAACTCATAAAATTAGTTGACATAATAAATTAATTTCACCAATTCAACGAGCTGAAATTTATAAATTAAAAAAATAAAAGAATTGCCTAATTTATTTATGATTATTTAATTGACTTCCCGTCTTCCACCATTAAACAATGCACAACTTCTTACCAACTCCAACGAAATATGAAATTTCATCAAAATTTCTGGTGATCACGAGTTTCCCTGTGAACACGCACAAAAATCACCAAACGAAGCTTCGAAGAATTAATAGAGACTTTTGATTTTCTGTTAAAAAGAATGTTTGTAAAGGAAAATCAAGAGGAAAATTCAGCCGATTCCAGCAGTCAAAACGCGCCGAAATTAAAAATCATTATCATCTTCATCTTCATTAAGAGTATGAAACTATATAAATCTATGGGATTACAGACCATACCTCCATTCTCTGATTTTCTTTCCTCAACGGCTGAAGCTTGTATTAGATTTGGCGTACACGAATGGCTCCAATTAAACGCTTATTTCCAATAGCCCTAATTGCTCTTCTCTTACTCTCTGAATCTTTCCCTGTTTCGTCTGCTGATTATGACGAGGATTCGAAATCTTTGACCGGAATACTCCACCGGAATGTGCTTCATCCATTGGAGCATCAGCGATTGGATAAGGACACCGGTTCCTCTTTGGCAGAGAAGATCAGTATCAAAAGAGGAGCTCGATCCGCCGTAATTGGAGGCCATTCCAGTATATCGTCGTCGAGCCGGGTGCCGCCCTTTCATATCGCCTCTGTGATTTGTTTCGCCTTTACGTTTGCTTTGTTATTGTAAAAAATTTGACGCGAAGCAATTCATTTGATTATTGCAAGGTAATTGGGAGATTGATTATACTCATAAAATAATCAGCTACAAATTTAAATTCTCATTCAAACTTAGTGTAACATTTTATTTTATAAATTTATGAAAATAAGACTTAAAAGAAAACTTTTTTTAAAAAAAAAAAAAAGATTAACTTTAAATTAATAATTAAAATGAAGAAAATCAAAGATTAAAAATAATATTTTAACCTATATGGAAGGGTTAGATTTGAATTTTTATCCATAAATAATGTATTAACAAAAATACTATGAAATTCGCTAATTATTCTTTTTTAAACTAAAAAATTATAATATTGGAAAATATATTAAAATTATCTTTAAAGTATAAAATTTATTAGGGGAAGAATTGGATATTTTCATCCAATTTAATTGAATATTAGTAACGTATTTATTAATATTAAAATGATCAAAAGGCAAGGTTTCAAAATAATAATAAATAAATAAACGGATAAAGGCTTGTTTAAGCTAACAATAAGCAAGGCATGGCAGCCTCTCTTCCTCCTCACATTTCGCCCTATCTCGCAACAGTAAGAATGGGGTTTCCGGTGACTTAAAGAGGGGACAATTGTCCTTCGACTATTGAGGATTATTGGGAGTTCCACATTGGTTAATTTAGTGGAAGATGATGAGTTCATAAGTGGGGAATATTATCTGCATTGGTAGAAGGCCTTTTGGAGAAGCCCGCGGTTTTTTGCGATTCTTTGATTGATTCTGCACATAGTTCTATATATCTATATAGAACTATGTAACTATGTTAAAATTTGTTTCAAACACCATGCTTATAAATTTAAATTAAAATAAAAAAAAACTTTGCTATTTATTTAAAAATTAATTATTTCAAAAGTAATTTTTTTCTAAAATTTTCAGACGAAAATTCTTTAAAATTTTGGAGGAAGAAAATGAAGTTATAGATGACAAAACAGTAGCTTGGATGCTTGTTTGGGTTAATTTTGAAAGAATTACATTCATAGTCTCTAAATTATTTATAAAAGGTTCAGGGATATCACAACTATTAAAAAATAAAAATAATTTTGAAAAATCATACGATTAAATTCTAATTTTCTTGGTGATGAGTAAGATTTTCATATATGTACAACCTAATATAGTCATAGAAGATTGAACTCAAACACAGAAATTGATCCACATGAGGAAAGGGGACTGTTCATTTCCATTCTTTGACACCATCTTCTTCCATTTTGCCCATCTGAAACCAACAAAGCTGATGATGAACGCAAGCAGCTGAAGCAGGGGAGGCCCAGAAAATGGTAACAAATTCAACAGTTTGTTTTTAACATGCACTTGAAAAGCAGAGCTTGAGAAAGGGTTCTTGTGTTGGGTGGGGGGGTTGATTTCGTGTATAACCAAATCCTTGCTTAAGAAGGAAGTAAATTACATTTGACTTTCAACTACGGCTCATTGTAAGTAGCCTTGTAGCTGCTCAAGCCACCAAAACTAATCATAGTTACTTCTTCAAATTCATAGCAAGTTTTATTAGATGACAATGAACTTGAATATCCTTAACCATAACAATCCAGATATGAACTCGTTCAACGAACAAAGCTAGAATTAGAAGAAATTAAGTCAACTGCGCTTGATTCACATCCCTGAATTTCAACATGAAATTGAACAAACAAACAAAACACAAATGGTAGGAATTCTATTTCTAAGATTGATTGATTGAGGTAGAACCTGGATGGATCAACTTACGAACAAATACTAGGGTTTAGCGGTAAAAGAAAGCGAACACACGGTACAGATCAATCACAGAGTCAAGATCCAATTCAGATAAATTACAGCACACAAATTGTGTATAGGCGAAATACCTAAAGAACCTAGGCCGGCGCATACAGAGGACGTCTATATTCATCGAAGTACTCATCGCGATCAATGAAAATGATGACATACAAAGCGTAGATAATTCCAGGAACATATCCGAGAAACGTCAAAAGAAGACATATGCAAAACTCAACCTGAACAAATAAGCAATCGGATAATCAGGATTCATTCAAGTAGAGTCAAAATCAACACGGAGGAGGAAAAGAATCAGAAACGTACAGTGCAACATCCGTGCCTGAAGCAGACGCCCAATGGAGGAATCAAGATAGCGATGAGAATCTCGCAGAAGATTTCGCAGCGAGTTGCCATTTAACCAGAAAGAAGGAAAGGAAAAAGGATGAAAAGAAGAGAGGAGGAAGATAGATCCAGAATGGAGAAACAAAGAAGACGACGATTTTATACGGATGTAGTTTTGAAAAGGGCCGGTGGGACCCGATTCTTGCGCGGCTTACTTTCATTGGTCAGCATTGGAAGATCATTTATAGAGTGATTTTTATTTTTTTTCAAGGGACAAATCCTTAACTTGAATAAATTTCATAAATTCTAAATTTAACAAAGGCTTATACAAATGTGAGACGGAGACCGATCATGTAATTCCATTTAGTTCCAAGCTCCAATTCCAATTATCCTCTAGCTCCACGAATCTCTCCCTTTGCCGTATCGCCTTGTTTCTTCACTCTTTCTCTTCCATTTTGCTTGATTTCAGGGTTCGAGCCGTCGATAACAAGCCACTGCTTGCCGCTTCCAGTTCCGAATGCTCATCCGATCATCCGCTGCGTGGTTTGTAAGCTTAATCGAAATGTTGTATACGGAAATAATCTCTGCTTGTTCTTCAAATCTACTACAATGCTTCATTTTCGATTCAGTTTTCCAATAAGGTTTGATGATCTAATGATCTGATCAGACGATTCTCCAAATGCAGAGCTCGTGAAACAGAGGATTAAAGAAGAGATAACAAATAGAGAGACTGCAAGCCGTAGAATGCTCGAGGCGGAGATCAGGAGGGAGCTCATTATCGAGCAAGAACTATCGATTCTTAGGGCTACTGGGCGGACGGAGGGGTTAGCATTTGATGAGCATTTTGCCATGAGAATGTTGGATCTGAGGCTGAATCACATTGTGGATCAGTCGTCCTCCAGAGGTTTATTAGCGGTTCCAGGTTCCTGTTCTTCGCTAAACTCGTAACCAGTTCGTCCATTTCCGGAGCCCCAAAGGAAGAACCGAGGCCTATGGATATGATGAAAAGAACAAGGTAATCTTTCTGGAGTTAACAACCAACTCTTTTACTTATGTAGTTATTATTATTATTTAAAATAAGATTCGAATATTTCACTTTTTATTTAATTATATATCTCTTAATTATTCTAGCATAAGTTCTTTCATTCTTTTTTTAAAAAATACTCAATGGTATGTTTTAGTTATTAAATTTAAAATTGAAAGTAGCATTTTTGCATCATATTTATTTTATTTATAATAAACAAATAACATATTTATGTGTATATATTACAATAGATATCGGAGGATGGGTAATTTTATATAAGTTTATTGTCATTTTTACCGTCTCAGACATATAGATCTCGAGAGCAGAAAGTGAGATATTAGTGATAGAATAGTCATAGCATTCTTTTATCAGACCATAAAAGGCGTATGAGTTCCTAAAGAACTAGTCGCAGCCAAATCCTCGATCGAGATTGTCTCACTCAAATTTACTTGTTAGCCCGTTTTTTTATTATTATTATTATTATTATTATTATTATTACCTTGTCTGACTCTAAATGATATGATCACAGCCGTAGTGAGTTATGACTCCAAATGAACTAGGCCAACGATAAATTTGGCTGTACATGTCTTCTTTTCTCTGCAACTCTTACTCCTTTTTGGAAAACTTTCAAGTCTTTATGTTAGTCCTTCTGTGAGTATTTACAATTTGGTCACATGGATCCGTTTTTTAATCACTCATTTCTCGTATGCTGCTGCTATAGTTTCAAAGCCCACAGGAATTTCCCCTCAAAGATGTGTTTTGTATTAACACAGAGGGAAAAATAGCCTTCTTTTATCGACTAAGCTTGCATCGATCGAGGGAAAGACTTGATGGATCAAGTTCTTCTCTCTATTTTCTAGCCCCTGCTTCACTTTTCTACACAAAAGATTAGACAGTAGATTGAAGGATTTGCAACTTTGATTCTTCTCGATATCTCATCACCATTCTTTTTTAAATGTATTAACATGTACAAATACTACTTTCCCTTCACAATAGAAGAATACAGAATCAAAGAAGGAATTACAATTAACTGTGGCTTCTAGGATGCCTGAAGCCCTTCTTCCAAATTGTAGTTCTAAGTGACACTAGAGATAAAAATGAGCTCAAACCCTTAAAGCCACCTGGTCTTGCCATGAAATCTTTCTTTTACCAGCTCGACTTGGACCATCCCCAACAGTCCTGCACGCCGAAATCTTGATATCATTTTGCTGCTCATCGTTCCCACCTCGAAGAAGGCTTTTCTTCAGCTCATCAGCTCTCAGTGTATCGTAATGGGTCTGCAATTCCTCTTCCTCCATCTGAGCCAAAATAATGTAGAGATTGTTAGGGAGGAGGAGAGGTGAAATTGTAGTAAAAATTACGTTTGCAGGGTTCAGCTATATCATAAAATTGTTGGTCAAATAAGTCCTAGTCAATTACCGAAATTTGGTTCAAGTCGAAAAATGGAGTGATGGTTCGCTCGCTAGCATCTCTCCCACTGTACATTCTTTCCTTCTGGTTCAAGTCAAAAACTGGTGTTGAATTCTGTTGATTGGCTTTCTTCCTAGTCTTTGCCTTCTGGTTCAAGTCAAGGACAGGAATCGGAGTAGAACTCTGTGGAGGAATATCAATTCGTCGGTTGATTCTTTCCTTTTGGTTTATATCAGAGATCGTCGGGAGGGGTTGCAACGCAGGTCTTCTTCTCGAACCATTCTTCCCCTTCTTAGTATTGTTAGCCACTTGTTTGTTAAGTTGCTTCTGCTGTACTGGATTTCCATTTGAATGGTCGTTTGGCAACTGGTTCTTCATTAGGTACTCGTATCTCTTCTTCAAGAACCTTCAATAGAAACGTAGACTCATAGTTAGTTCTGGACAATTCAGTTACTCCTGATGAAGATCCACACAAATACAACGTAATTATGTAAAGATTATACCGGACTTCTGCCATCAGGGTCATCTTCTTTTGCTTCATCATCTGTAATTTCCTCTTAGCAGTTTCTGTTTCCTGGAAGAACACAAGAAGTACTTTCAATTGTTTGTTCATCCATAACATTCCCGAGTCTTAAACTGATCTATCCAGCACAAACTCAGAACATGGGGTGGCAAATTTTACATAACCAGAATCAAATTTCTCTTGAAATTTCACAAAAGTGAAGACAACAACTAGTCCAAGTATTAGACTTACGTGAAACAAAACCAAAATAGAACACCGCACAAATAAGATCAGGTGTTCAAGAACATGTACTTATAAAGTAGTGAGGAAACTACTAGACTCGACTCTTCAAGGAAATCAATGGTAGGTTTAGAATGATCCAAAGTTCATTGATTGGTAATTACTTAAAGATGATATCACTAGAGGAGGTCATGGCAGTTTTAAGGGTATCAATCTCTCAGAACCAAGAAAATAAACAAATGGAAGCAAACCTAAAGCATCAATTTTCCAGATAGGAAGAAAATTATAGACGAACTTCCCTCTTTTAGCCTAGAGATAGGTATTTTAAAATTCAACAAAGAATCGACAGAACTTTTATCTCATATTATTGTTTGAGCAACCAAATCGAGAGTTTTAACCAAAGGAAATAGCCAGTTCAGACACAAGGATGAATTAGCCTAGCCCAGAAAACCAAAAAGAAAAAAAGAAAAAAAAACTAGTATTTTCACGATTGATAACTCCTAGATCAAACCATATTCCCCTCTTCCAGACCAGAAATTCCATTCAAAACAGAAAGAAACCAAATCAATTTCAGAGAAAAAGATCTGAAGAACACAATCAAACCCCATATGAATAAAAGAAAAGGAAGATCTGGTAGAAACAACAAAGAAATCCGGAAATCCGCAGAAGCAGAAAACAAAAATTACCTTCTCCAATTCGTGATAATCTTGGAGGAGAGTCTGATGTTTGAATCTGATCTTGGAATCGTCAAACACAGAAGGGTGTTGGGAGGCAGCCCCTTTCATCTTCTTCATAGATGGTAAGGAAGAAAAATGAGAAACCCAGAAGGGGAAAGAGGCGGAAAGAAAGGAAAGTTAGATGTGGGAAAGAGATGGGTAATGAAGAAGAAAGATGAGGAGGTGGGGGAAGAAGAAAAAATGAGAAAGTGGGTGAAGAGGCAAAGGACAAAGAAGAAGAAAGAGAAATGGATGGGAAAAGAGAATTGGAAATGGAATTGGAATTGGAATTGTGATGGAAGAGAGGGGTGGGGGGGGGGGGGGGGGG